CCCTCCTCACTTGCTGTAGTAATGGCTCAAGCCCTCTCCCTCCTCCAGCACTCGTCTCCCCGCGAAGTCCAGCGTGACCTTCCTGCCGAGGCGCGAGGCGTGACGCAGCTCCCTCAGCTCCTCCTCGCGCCGCCGCAGAGCCTCGCGCTCCGCCTGGGGCAGCCACTGGTTGGAGTCGGTGGCGAAGTAGTCCGACTCGTCGTCGATCACCTGCGTCCGGCGCACGCTTGGGGGGGGACAAACAGGAAGTCAGCCACAGCCAGCTCTCACAGGGACAGCCTTGTCCCACACAGGCTGTGGAGCTCCGTCTTTCGATCTCTCTGTGACCTGGGAATATTATTTCACGAACGGCTCTATTTATTTCTATCACCAATCAAAAAACTGCCATAAAAAATGAGAACAAAACCAAACGAACCCAACTAACCCCTCTCCTCATCCCTGCCTACCACAGCAACCCACTCCTGCATTGGAGAAGAAAAAAAAACCCAACACACTACACAATTAAAACATATATACTGTAGAATACCTACATAGAAAATACTGTATATACAAAAAACAAATTCAAACAGAGATCCGACCAAGATCACTGCAGATTCCCATTATCTAACTCTGGAATATTTCAAATTAAATTAGCCAGTAGGTGATGTGTTCATTACTTGGCTGCCGCTCAGACTGGTTTCTTTAGGACTATAATTCACTGTGGAATTTCACAGGTCAGTAATTATGCAGACTATATCTGACTTTAAAGCTCTGCAACCCTACTATTGTTAATATTCTAGGACAAAGAAAAGATACTGAGTTCTAAAAACAGGTATTTTTGCTAGATATACAGATATACAGTATACTTTCACTTAAGCAATGAAGGGAAAAAGCTGAGTGTAACGCACAAAATGCAAAGCCTGAGGCGGACAGTGTGTTATTCAATGTGACTGAGTCTACAAGGAAAATACCTGTTCCTGTCGTATTCCAGGAGCTTCTCCTTGTGCTGGAGGGCTTTCTCCAGGCCAGACTTCGTCCTGGCCTCCTGTTGGGGCAGAAATTCTCTCTCTGTGCCGCAGGCCTGACTGGCTCTGTCTCCTCCTGCCAAACCCACAGAGACTAATGAAGTCAACTCCGATATGTGAAATAAGACTGCAACACTTTGTTAAAAACATGTGAGGTTGTGCCTCAGGCCCAATTATGACAAGAAAACATCAGTACAACATGATCTCTGCTGATCAGCTCACCTCCCATGAGTTTCTTCAGAAGTTTCTGGCTTTTGTTGGAGTCTCGCTGGATGATCTCCTGCTCTTCTTTTGTGCAGACCTTCCCAAAACAGAACGGTTACGCATTGAAGGCAAGGCATTTCTGTCCTTCACACACAAGCCCGTTCTCGGTGGTCAAACCTGTACTGCCTCTTTCCAAAAGAGCTGTCCCGCAACACAGATTTTAAATTTCCCTCACGGAAAACAAAAAAAACAGAGGACAGGAATAATAAGTACACTATCATGAGACCACCTCTTCTGTACACTTTGCTATCATTAGCTTATATGGCACTTTTAGGGTTTGTTTTAGGATTCAGAGTCAATTTTCCCAAAAAGGACAAAAGCTAAGTGTCTATGAGGAATAATCGCATGATTTAAAGTACTTTCATTAAAAAATTATAATATTTCCATACACTTGCAAGGGTTTAAGTCAGTAATATCTTGGGTTACCTAGCATACACAATGTGCTGGTGTAATATTATATGCACAGCCGATGCAGTCTAATTGTGAAGATATGAAATAGGACAACTAGGGTTTCACATTACCTGGCCCTCCACCAAGAACTGTATTGGTAAAACCTTAGACAATAAGGACAGTGACAAACTTGTACTTACGAGGCTGCCACAGAAGAGGCAGGGACCGGAGTTCTCCTGCTCGCAAACGATGCGCCCACAGGTCAGACAGTTATTGATGAGCCTGTGTTTCTGTGCCAGGCACTCGCAGGGGTGGCGCCCAGGCAGCAAGACTGCCAGCCTGTCCTGGCCCTCCTGGGCATACAGGTTCACAAACTTCTTCTTTTTCACAGTGGTAGAGCTGCTGCTTTCCTGCGCCTTTAAACAGAATAGACAAAATCCATCAAGAATGAACCCAGACCAGCAGCTTATCCACAATTCACTTCGACCACATTGCTGCTCTCCCATGACCATCTGAAGTGCGCTTCTGATACACGAACACACTCACGGATACGGTGCTGGTGGTGGATACTTATTTTACCCACTCCACTCACCTTCAACAAGTCTATAGGCGTCTTCACTTCCTCTGGCGCAGGCTCCTGCTCAGGGACAGTCGGCACTTCCTGCTTGTTCCGCCCTTTGCGCTTGGATTTCTTCAGGGAATCCATTCCCTTCAATACCTCGGGAACGTCTGGAGAAGGAAAGAGAACTGCTTATTGTATATTGCCACCTCTGCGCAATTTTTTTCGAGAGGTTTCTTTTCTCTGTGTTACTTCTCTTTCATGGACAGTTTCTGTGACATTCCCTCACCATGAAATCTGCTTGATGCTGCCCTTGGAGGACTACTAACTGGTTAAATTCAATGCTTGGAATCAATCAATCTTTGCTCACTTCTTGAATCTACAGCACCGGGAGCCCAGATAATCATTACTTTGATTAACTAAGAGGCATTATATTACATAGAAACAAACACATACATATTTCAAAGAAAACTGCGAATGTTATTTCAATTAGATGTAAAACCGAGGTCCTGACTCTCTGTGGTCATTAAAAATCCCAGGGCGTTTCTCGACAAGAGTAGGGGTGTAACCCCGGCGTCCTGGCCAAATTTCCCACTGGCCCTTACCAATCATGGCCGCCTAAGAATCCCCGTCTATGAATTGGCTTCATTACTCTGCTCTCCTCCCCACTGAGAGCTGGTGTGTGGGGAGCATTCTGGCGCACTATGGCTGCTGTCACATCATCCAGGTGGGGCTGCACACTGGTGGTGGTGGAGGGGATCCCCATTACCTGTACAGCGCTTTGAGTGGAGTGTCCAGAAAAGTGCTATATAAGTGTAAGTTATTATTATTATTAATTATTATTAATGTGGATTTCTGTCTTGTACAACATTTATCACAGGATCTATTGACCAAGTGAGAAACTCAAGTATTACTTCCATCTCCCACACCCTATTAATTTCTGGTTCCTAATCTGAAGGTCCTACCTGCCACAGTCTCCTTTCTGTGGTAGAGCTGAATGCTCTCTGAGGAAGGCTGCCGGGACCTGTGCCATCTGTCCAGGAGTTCATCCATAAACTGCTGCTTCTTTCCTTCTGTCCCTTGGAGAAGATCTCCTACGTACTCTCTGATCTCCTCTGCATTCTCTATGGAAAGTATATACCTGTCGAAGACATTAACCATGATTGATAACCCAAGAACTGTGCCTAATTTCTGAATCTAATGTTTGACATAGAAAATAAAATTAACAATATATATTATTGGACAGAATTTATAACCTCAATTCATATCGCTAGTGTTCATGTTTTTTAGACACCTTCATTCTGTCGTTAATAATTTAACTCATACCACAGGCATTATATGAAAAGTTGCATATTCTAGAAGCACATACTCCACAATGTAAAAGAAATGCAAAGGTCAGGAAATTAATCCCTCAAACCTGTTCACTGATTATTCAGATAACCCTCAACTGAGGCAAGATGTAAGAAAGAAGCAATATTTTCAGACTTCTAGTTGATTATCTAAAATGCGTTAAGAACGCTTACAAGACTAGAAACGTTTATTCAATCCAAATCTTTTAATGAAATAACAAGTTGAAGAATTCTGTCGACAGAACTCACGCCTGGCTATTCATTGCTTTATACAGAGCTACATTAAGTTATGAAAATGTATATAAGTCTATACAGCTACTGACGACATCTATAACATCTCCTATAGTTTAACACTTTCGAAACCTCGACCTCGCTATTATAAATAAGTTCTGAAGTGATGGTTCTGAAATAGTGTATAACTGGAGAACTGTTAATATTTACTCACTGCACTATGTCATCACAAGCGTCCAAACCAAAATTTCGGTTCAGCTGATCCACACACCATCGCAGTAATAAGTCCGACATCAGTTAGCTCACTAAGCTCATCAAACGTTAAAAAAAAACATAAAATAAAAAGAGAAATTATGAATCTTTAAAAGACTGACGTCTGTTGCGGTAAATTCAAGCTATACTCGCAAAGCATAAGCTATGTGTCAAAGTACGGAGAACTTTCCGGGTACACACTGTTCCCACACCGTCACGTCCGCACGAAACAGAACGACAGTGCATATTAGTTCCTCCTGACAGCTCAACTACTTCACAATCGACGTCTTCTTGAAAGTTGAAAATGCAAAAACGTCCTGTGACTTCGTTATTTTTTATCTGGTCAGCATAACGGAAGATAAGTAAAATAATTGTCTTTAACTGCTATTTTTCTGTGTGTGTTCTAGGACCACAACCAAAAACTGCATCAAATACGAATACCTACTGTATATCCTCGTCCTGTTATTTTATGCTGTAAAGTTAGCTCACATTTGCCCTAGAGCTAATTCAACTGGCTCAACTGGCTGGGTCCCTGTTGAGTGAAGCCGGAGAGCGCTACAGTACCTTATATAAAAATAATTCGAAGAGAAAGCTACCCATGGAAATTTCAGTAGGAAATATTCAACTTTTATGTACTAATGACCCGTACCATCAAGTCTGGATAGTTCAAAATAAAGTATGTTCCACTTTATTACAGCTTCATTAAAGAGATAGGTTACATTCTGATGGTAATATAATGATATAAGAAGTTAACTGGTGTCCCGTTTAAACCATATAAATACCAGTTCAGACAATTAGAAACCGAAAATCTGAACTGAACCAATATTATTTTTTCACTAGTGTACATTTTTACGTTCTTGTGTAATTTGCATTAATCAGCAACATCCGCATTTGTCGTAAGAAAAGGAAAATAGCCAGTTTACCAGACAACAATTGTCAATAACAACGAATACTTGTCCCATTCAAACACACGACCGGTCTCTAATTTAAGTACTTTAGATTGAAAATTCCAGTTTAACAAATTATACCTTTTATATGAACTCCCTTGCCCCTTCACTTTAAGAGCCAAGTAAACAGTAATAATTAATTGATATTTAATCTCTCAGCAAGGGAAACTGTAGCAAAGACAGATAAAGACAGCGTCATGGTAACAGCTATTCAGATCCGGTGTACACACTGGCTTCAGGCAGCTTTGGGAAGCTACCTGCATCGTTAAGCCTCCTGGTGGGAGGCCGATGCATTCTCATTAGTATCTCCTGGGTAGAAGTCTTATACAGTATCAGTGACCTCTGTGATGAGTTAATGGAGCTGTCTGAAAAGGTGACTATCCTTCACAGGCTGTGAAAACTGCCCTTACAATCCCAAGTGATATGCCAAACTAATTCAAGTAGGTAGCTGGGTCAGCATGTGTAGGCTGCAAAGGAACAGGTTAGGTGTATTCCATGCAGAAAGAGAAGAAAGGAAACAACGTTTCGACTGTGGAGCCTTCTTCTGGTGTGAGCCAAAATAATTGTCATGTATACTTTGTAGGCTTCTGTCTTAGGAAAAGAAATAGGCAGACAGGGTTCAAATATGTATGACTCACTTTGCCCAAGAAATGTCTGTTGTCGTAGTACCCAAAAAACCTTCACATGTTAACAAATTATTTCAGATGATGCGGTAACCACAAAAATATTAATATAAAAGTCTAAAATGGCATGGTTAAAACAAGCTCAAGCAGAGAACGAACAGTGTTAAGTTTTATAAGGTGTATTGTAGGACCCAGGGCAGAGAGCAGGGGGAGGGCCATGTGGTGTGTAGGTTCAGGTTATACAGGAGCTTCTGAATAGCAGTGCACCACAGAGCACAAGCACATTCAGACATGCACAGATCATACCAGCCCCTTCAGCCTTCAACTAACAAATACCTGCAGAAGAAATGGGACCAAGCCAGGTACAACGAGCACAGGACAAAGGTAACTTTATAGGATATTGGTTATGCATTGTTGATAGCAAATCAATTAAATGGATGTAAGTAGTTTAAGTCCATATTATTTCAGTATAATTAAAACTTGCAGTCATATAGAAATTAATATTTGGAAATACTGATCTTATTGTGCGTTTAAGACAAATGTCAAAATGATTGTTAGAAAATCGAGAAGGAGATGACTCTCAAACCTTCCACACAAAACCTTTTTGCAAGGTTGGCAATTTCTGATAAGAGAAGGATGACTGTAAAGGGCAAGCAGCAAAAGAAGCAAGTAGATTTCAAATTTCTTTTTAGTACATGGAGTAAATTGTCTCATTTGTATGAGACGATATTTTGAGGTGTCTGTCTTATGTATTTGTCTAACATTGCAAGCATGCATGCTGTCTTAATGGTCGAATGATTTTTCCTCTAGTGGAGCCTGGCCATTCTGACTGTCATTTGATTTCAAGCCAGACACTTCATAACATAACATTCAAATGGCCAAATATATCAGATATTTACCAGACCAAGTACCTTTCTGAAACCACTTCATAGTCTTATCTATACTATATCTACATCTTATATTGTGATGACTTGTAGAAGGAGATTTACTGATGCATCATCGTATTCCAAACAGAATGATGATCCCATGTAACCTGGGTATTTTCCCATTTCATAATTTTCATTACTTCAAGAGTGTTAAGAATAATTTGTTCTCTACATAGGAACATTCCTTTTCAAAAGCCTTGAAGCACGATAACTCAACGCATTGTGTCTATGGAAATAAATGCTGAAAAATACCTCCTTAGCCCGAGATGTACAATTTAACTACGGCCCCAGTTATGTCATGAATTGTAAGCCCAGGCTGTCAAGGACAAACTTTCACTGAGAGACACAACAAACAACAAACCTGACAACACGGTCAGTTTTAAATGACCTCCCAGGCTCTGAGAGCACAATGGCCACGTTCTTGTGTGTCAATAAATTGTCACAATTGAGTTTTCCTGAAATAAACAATACCTGTCCTGCTTTTCCATGTGGTGTAATATGTACAAAGAGTTTTTTTAGAACAAATCCCTCCAGATACACTACAGATATAAGCATCATAGTATTAAGTATTAATGTTGCAAAGTAGATCTGTATTTTTGTGACCAGCTTGTTCAGACACACACAAGTGCCAAAGGTACTTATCCCATGAATTTCAAACTGATCTGCAAAAAAGGAGTGTGGGCTTGCTTAAAAAATGAAATTCAAATTAAAGCATCTTTGCCCTTTTCAAATGAAGTACAGAAAAGTATAAAATTACATTGAATGAAATCGAGGATGAAATGTTATTTTTTACTTCCCAGATTCTTTGGGATGTTTCTGAAGTTTGAGGATGTTATCTACAGCATGTGTTGCACAAGGCTATTGATGCAATCTCATTTAAAGGTTTTATACTATGCACACATTTTCACATACCTGAAATGCTCTGGCTACCAGTGACACACTGTATGTCACTGTATGACACATAAATATTTTCTTAGGTTCACACAGCCAGGCCAGTAGTGGACACCAAGGGCCCCACAACGCCTGCCCATCTACAGGTGAAGCTGAAAAAACTGCAGGTCAGTAACTCTTCACAGGAGATACAGTACAGTACGTGTTTTTCTTAAAATGAGATATTCCAAAGAAACTGTAGATGACTAATGGTGTCCGTGGCACTATACCTGGTCATCTGTTTTATGACCAGGTATAGTATAAGCTGAAGAAATAGTATTTCTGGGCAAAATCTAAAGGAAACAGTTCTCCCTTTAACCTTCCTAAATAGACCAGCTCCAGTGCTATGAAGGGGTTGTCCTGGCATAATGTTCACTCCTCTCCCTGTCAAGCTCCGGCACATTATTTGTATGATCAAAAGGGATTTTTTTTCTTGTGTAAACATAGCCATTCCAAACAGAAGCGTTTGAATGGTGCTTAATACCATGTCTGAAGGAACATGCTGAAATGATTAATACATGAACTACATGATGAATACTTTATTAGTTTAGCTGCAGATGTGAGATGAACAGAACAGTGGATGTGCGTTGAAATAAAAACGTATAGGACCTTTTGTGCATTGGAAGTATTATTTTGTATGGGGTAAAATGTCTAATGATCAAGATGGAGATAAAGACGTCTGAAAAAGCCCAGAATGTGCATTTTGAATCTGTGTTTCAATTCAGTGCAGCCTGCTATCCCCTTCCTTGAAAGCATTAGATGAATTCAGATCCACAAAGTTTATTTGTAGGTGTCCATCTCTCCTTGTGAACCAGCTCGAGGAGGAACGTTTGGCCACCATTGAGAGGGACAATCAGATCCTATCATCCAAGCTGTCGGATATCATGAGGTCAAAGGGCTGGGTTGACCACAGGAATAACTTCACAGAGAGAAGGTGAGACATAGCATCTGTAATTGCAAAGGGGAACATACTCATTCTACAGAGCAGCAGCCCCACACAAGCAATAACAATCCACAATCTACTGCTTTACTATCAGCACTGCTCCTGAATAACTTTCTTTTTCACATGTGGCCTTTCAATCTGGTATTTCACACACAGTCAAAATGCTTTGCCCCTTGGCATGTATTCATTTGGAACTCAATACCTCCTCTGTGTTTAAAAATGAAAATCATAGTCTTTCGAAACCATCAAGGCTTCTATCTGTTATTTACATATCCTTACATTTAAATACTTCAGTCATATTTAACAACCTCATTTAAATGTATGAGCTGCCCTGATTCATATACACACTACTATACATATACATATACATACCACTGTATTTATCAGGGTATGAAAGTGATGATTGCAGAATTTAAATATATAAGACTACAATTTTAGCATATTTCCCCTAAGACTTGTAACCTGAAACATCCAATCCCATTAAATTAATTTAGGAATGTGGAAAAGAAAATAAGGAGAGAAATCAAACCCATTCTCTGTGGCCTTTGGTACTTCATTAGCAGCATCTCTGTAATAAGCAATGTGAAGCAAAGACATGTTTTCAGTATCCACATGTATTTTTGTTTGGTACAGCATGTGGACAAAGAAGCCAGCCTCCATATCTGGTTACTGTTTGTACTTGTATCTAAGTGTCATTGCATGATCACAGCTAATTACTCACTGTTCTTGAATCATTTACCTCCCCTGTAAGTTACATGCTTCCTCTTGAATTATTGAAGGGCATTTTTGAATATCTAAAAGGTCAGAGAAATCTTTGAGATCTTTCAGGATATGTAGCTCACAGATACCCCTACAAAACCAGCCAATCACACACAGTAGGGCTCTTTATATCTGGCCAGTAGCAATTCCTACAGCAAACTCTTCCTTAGCAACAGGTAAACCACTGACGTACTAAATTCAGTGGGGTAATTTGTGGTCAGCCACTGTAACAAATGGAAAGAATGCAAAGAGTCTGTGCCCAGATGACACACTTTTCTGGAATAACTGCAAATTGAATTGGCCCCAGAAACAATTACACTTTTGCTCCTCTCAATTCACATACTGACATATATTTTTTTAAATATGCAGTTTTCATTTTAAATATTCATAAAACCCTGTACAAAAATGAAGAACAGAGGAACTATTCTGTTTAAGGCATTTTTTAATCTAAACTGTGCACACTTTTTGTTGTGTCAGCTTTAAACTGACATGATCAGGAGGCCAATTAATGCATTTTTAACATTCCTAATTTGAATTGACGCAGAGGATTATCCAGAAGAAGGGAGATTTGTAGTGTTGGTTCTGGAAACGTGTTCCTTAAATTTTATCAGGTTCCGAGATCAGTTTCCCAAAATAAGTTCAGAAGCCTCTTGTCCCAGAGGTGATTTATCTGCATTATTCAAGATATCACTTCTAATGTCTATAACTGAATTATAGTATTTCTATGCTTATTAAATATTGCAACAAAGGAATAAGGGTTTCCTGCTAGAATATTTACAGAATCAAATCAGCATCTTATCACAGTGCTGTGCTGACAGTATCATGCTGTCACTTTACTTTTAAAGCTTTTGTCCCAGCCCAGCCCTTCATTTACTCTTGCTGCACAATGTGCAATTGCATGTAATACCTTGCAATTCTGATCATATCACAACTTTAAGTGAGTCCTGGAACAGCGAGGTGGAAATATTTTTTTCCTCACCTTGGGACACAGCCTGAACGCAGAGAAGAGGCGCTTGGAGTTGCTGCAGGTGACCCAGGAGAATCGGGCTCTCCTGGAGCGCATCACAGCACGCAAGTCCGAGTCCTGGCGTCAGCGCTGGGAGGAAGACTGGGAGAGGACAGAGAGGCTGCGCGATGACATCGCTCGCTACCCTCGTGGAGTCACCAGCCAGCAGGTACCCCACTTAACACGGAGCCCCGTCGCAAGCGAAACCCCTTAGCAAGGACAGGGCTGGGTTTGTAAAAAAGCCCAGTAGCTGAGAAATCAGATTCTCTAATACATGCCTCAAGATTTCCACATTACAGTTTGCACCTCACATTTTTTGTCATCGTTTAAGATGATGAATGCATCAGCTCTGTCTTGTGTTCAGGTGTAGATGCGCCACAGCTGTGCAGCTCTAAAAGCTACTTAAGGTTAAAAAATCCCGTTGGAATAGAACAAGCTCTTCAACCAGCGCACGCATCAATTGCTCACTTACTGTGCTTATTAGGGAAAGACAGAATGGCTCAGAAGTGCCCCACAGGGAGAGACACAGGTGTTAATAGCTCGGAAGATTCTCTCTGTGAAAATACACTTGCATTTAATTGCATGTTTTCAGTGAAAGTGTGATTTTTTTTTTCATTTCCATTTTTCACCTGTGGGCATCACTGGTTTCCTGAGCAGCGCAGCCCAGACCAGTCAGAAATTCACATTTTAAAATCCTCATGATGAACCTGAATGAACCGTGATGAAGCTAATGCACTCCACATGTCTTTAAAAGTAGTAAAGATCCCTTGTATGCTACATAATCATGTATCAAAAGGCCCCATTTTCAGTCTTGGCACTCACTCTGCCACAGATGGTCTGCTAACACCACTTGTTGAGCATTTTAATAAAAACCAAAACAATGCTTAAGACGTTCAACCGTGGAACAGTAAAAGTGACTTTTATTCCCTTCCTATAGAAAAACAAAAGGAACGTTAAGCTTCGGGGAAGTCAGGAGATGAGCAGAGAACCTGGACCAAGTGAACAGTCCACAGAAACACACAGCGAACAAGGAGACCAATAGCCAAAAGCCTTTTATACAGTAGGTTGTGCCTAAAGCTCAGATTTCTAAATCCTGTGAATGCTTTGAACATGTATGAGAAACAAACCGGATACTGATGTTAACTGTACATTAGGTTATGATAAAAAGTACTGTGCTTCTGTCAAATGGAAGGTGATGTATACTGTAACTCTTTCCCATTCAAATGACAGAAGCCCATCCAGTTGATTCATGGAAAAATCCAAGGTGAGCTTCAACATTTAATCAGCATCTTCCTACATTTCCACAAACCTTTTGTGCCTCTAGTTCTGTTAATTTCCCCTTTACGCCCTCCAATTCATATTTTACTGTCGATTGTGAAAAAAGTCAACTTGATTGACTTTGTCATACTCCATCATGAGACTATTAAGGTGCAGGGCACTCCTTTGAACCCAGGAATACACTCTACAACCTTACATGTAACACATCAAATACCCTTTATACAGAAACTAGACCTGAAATTGCTACAGTAAAGTACTGAATGAGCATGTACAGAAACGTGAATGAGGGGGGGGAAACTAAGTCTTTTGAATAAATGCTAATGGACAATCCAATTCATTTGACAACCTTAAATGTCTCGAATTGTTCCGTTTCTTGGATTTGATTAAATGTTGCATTGAAACATCAGTTAAGTGTCCTGCAGGAAGTGTTCAAAAGGGAAACGACCAATTAAAAAAGAACATGGATAACTGCAACGTTTGAGCCCCTCTATACATAGCTAAGATACTATTATAAGCACTTTCATACCCATTCTAGGACCACACTGTTGTGTACTAAGAATGCATGTGAAGCACAAATGATTGTGCAAGTATCATCAAAACGGTAATCTCCAACATTAAACCAAGTGTACCAGGATACAAGCCCATGTCACTTCAGTACAAATGTAACCAAACCACAGCAAATCAAGGAAAACACACCACTGCTTCTTGTTTTGTTTTTCTCTTTATTGAGATCGATATATTACAAAGGTTTGTCTAGACTGCTCCTCGGGGGGTTTTGAAGTTCATTCCGACCGTTGGCTGGGTGACCTGCAGGTTGGACAGGCTGCCGAAGTCCTGGAAACAGAAGCAGGAAGTGAGAACAGATCAGGACACATTACATGCCCACCAGCAGGACACTGCAGACCACAGACAGTAAATGAGGGCAAAAGTTACAATATTTATAAAATAATTGGTACATCTTTTCATAACTACCACAAGTATCATGTATTGGATATTTTTCAGGGATATCCTGAAACAGTTTACAAGTGCTCAGTCTACACAATGGAATTATGCATTGAGGGGTTTCAGAATTAACACTATAAATTAATCTTATGCTCAAAATACTACAAATGGATATGAAACTGGTAGAACTGCCTCACACCATTTGAGCAATTCAGTAAAATCTAATTTTCAACCCTGACAGAGACAGGGCTCCCAAGTACTTGCCTCTAATTTCCCATTTCTTTTTCTCCTTCAGTATGAATCAACATTTCCAATACCGAGGTTCAAGCCAGTTCATTTTTACGTACATTTGACTTAGAAGTACAGGTATAGTTCAGAATCAGGTCACTAGAAGCCCCCAAATTAATGTCATAAATAAACATTTCAGCGATTTTACAAGCATTCGTTTCACATTACAGACGTCCACCTCATACAGCTTGCCGCAGGCCATATGGGTGAGGGCGAGAGGCCTGCAAGTGCGGGACTTGCGCTTTAATGCGTCTCAAAAGATACGCAGCTTTGGGTTGATTCAGAGAAAGGGGACGTACCAGCAGCTTCAGCATCTCCTTGGTATCAGGGTCCACTTCAATGATCTCCTGGTCCAAGGCAGAGACCTGGAAACAAACGCATCACTTAGATCTGAGGAGGACCTGCAGGCATCGCGATGTGTACAACAAGGTAGATGCACATAAAAGAAAACTTTTTTAAAACCTGCTGGAGTTACTCCCTAATGTGTCCTAAATAAAACCAAATTAAGAAAGTCAATAGAGTCCCATGTAAAACCACATTTTCTACAGCACCTTAATAATGTAGGGCAATATTTAAAAAAACAAACTGGTTACTGCCAGATTACACAAAAGCTAAATGTTTAACAGAGATTCTACGTCAGGACAATCTATCTAATGTCTGAAAGATACAGGGTTTGACAGGGACAGCGTTCCCAGCAAACACGGGAAAGACTTTCAGTTCTCTCTCCCTGTACTATCAATGACCAGGCAACAGTGCATACCACAGTCACTTTCGATACAGGGCACGGGGGCTGATGAAGACACTGCACATTGCAAACTGTTTCTAGCCACGCTATGAAGCATACACATGAAGTTTTAAACCCCACAACATGCAAATACCACAACTGTAGACTCTGGTTATCATTTGCGCAACAATTATTTTCCTTATTCCAAGCTAAATACATTAATTGCACATCACAAGAGAAACCCCTGCTAGGCAGTTTATAACAATTCTCACTCTACTGTGCATTATATTGCAGCTTATATCCACATGTACCACTTGTTTCTATCTGCAGTACCATGAACAAAAAAAAGGAAATGAACTAATCCTGTTCTAATACATTGAAAGACAACTGTTCAAACTTCACAGAATTATGCTTGGGAGTTAAAACTATTGGGTTCCAAACTGGACGACAGCTTCCCCTCCCTCTGTGTTTGTCTGTGCGGATCCAGGCAGCGACACTGACCTCAGGAACATAGTTGTCCCTCCTCTCTCTCTCTTCCTCCTGCAGTTTGATGGAGATGCCTCTGACAGGCCCCCTCTGGATTCGCTTCATCAGGTGGGTGACATACCTGCAGGAGAACCCGAAAGAAAAATCAGTCCATGCATTTGACACAATACCAGCCCAGCCACTGACAAAACCATTCTACCACCTCCAAGTATACAGCTGATAACATCGCAGGGAAAAACTGCAAGTGCCAACCTAGCAAGAGATGTCTATTTCAGTTCATGTTCTATTGTTCAGTTACTAACACATTCTACCAAGTTACCAAACACTCTGGATACTACTAAGACACGAATCAGAGACTAATGTCTGAAAGATACAGGGTTTGACAGGGACAGCGTTCCCTTCAAACACGGGAAAGACTTTCAGTTCTCTCTCCCTGTACTATCAATGACCAGGCAACAGAGCATACCACAGTCACTTTCGATACAGGGGCAAGACCTTACATTGAACAATGCAGCACAACTATGTAGGACGAGAATTTAAAAAAATACAAACTAGTTATTGCCTGAGAACACATGAAACAAAAGCTCAATGAGCACGCACAATTTCCCCTTCACAGAGGTCTTTATTCCCTTAAAGACATTATCATCTAAAAAAAACAAAGCAGACAAACATCTTTAAAATATTCTTCTTTACCTTTTGCGCTAAATACCATAAGCCTGATGAATTCGAATCTAATCTGTGTTGAAACACCCTCAAGAACTCAAAGATGCATGGCTCCACACAAAGGAGAGCTCAGGGGCTGTCCACTCCACTAAAGCTGATCTGGGTTTGAGTCTAAAGGGTTCTGATGGCAGTACTGGCAGACATGAAAGGAAATCGCAACAGGGAGCTCAGGTGTGATGCATGACTGAATAAATCCTTACGGAGATGAGACCGCTACCCCTGACGACACAACCTTGCAGACAAGACTGTTTAGAGACGGGTGAAAATGTGCTAGGTGCAGAACAGTTCCAAATGCCCTGCCTTTTCTCCTGACGGGAGAAACTCAGTCAAGCAAACACCAGTCTGGTTTGCAGTTGGCTTGCCTTCTCTTAACAGCAACCCACAGGAGGTGCATAAGAAAAAGGGGTAGAAGCATTAATTCCCAAGACAGATTTAAAAAACTTAAAATAAACAGTAACCTTAACAAGATCCTGTAGGGTGTCCAAAGGGTAACTTATATATATAAAAAACATATTCATGACAATCTTTCAATAAATCTTTTGACACTCTCTCATTCTTGGAAAAACAGTCTAGGCAATAAGTGAGGGGTTTACTGATGAGAGTTTCAGCAAAAAAAAAAACTAAAGCAGTTACTCAAAATGAATCCAACAGAATTCTATCGAAGCAAAAGCAAGCTAAAAAAATTGTGCTAGCTGTGAAGTCTAATCCAAGGTGTTAGACGCAATTTAAAAGGGATCACAGACCCCTGAAGCAAACCCATCCGCGCCTCTCGCCCTCTGCTGCCCGCACAGACGTCCACTCACCCCGCGATCTTGTTGCGCAGCTTCTTGCTCGGGATGATGGCGATCTCCTCGCACACCCGCTTGTTGGTGTGGAAGTCGTTGCCCAGGCGGGTGTAGTACTTCTCGATGATGACCCGGGCGGCCTTTTTCACCGTCTTAGTCCTGACTCGTCCCTGGAGAGAAACGAGCGTTTACCTTCCAGCCCCTCGAAGGAAGCGATTCCTCTCGGACAGCGGGCTGCTCGGACATTAAGGGACTTACCTGCTAGCGTGACCGAATCACGGTCAACTATCGCAAATCACCTTAAACATTTCACTAACCGAACACGAACAGCAAGAAGTTATGTAGAAACGGAAAACGTACCAGCAGCAGTACTTTCTGCGGATACCGCAGAAGCATAGAAAACGTGCAATATTGTATACTTTCAACACCTCTGAAAACAACAACACTCTGTAATGGTAATAACATTGAAGATAAAATACACAATAAAAATGCACTACATATGGACATAGTTCCAATTTATGGACATATTTTATGAGTAATGATCCGGACATGTTACTGAAATCTTTACATACTACAACTAATCCAAACCGTGAGAAAGTTACGATCCTTATTGTTTTAAAGGCTTCGAAATTCAGAACTCTTTACAAGGATGCGCCATTACCGCCTTTGGATTTAATCTGTACGCTTAACAGTCTGTCTGTGCTTCAGGAAAAAATAAATTAAGAAAAAAACAGCGAACGTAATGGAGAACGGCGCTCCTTCCGAGAACAGTAATATGACAGGCATCACCTATAAAACTACACATCTTTACTTGTCAGGCTGCTTGCAGATCCCAATACACGGCTGTATCATCACATAATTGCATAAGCACCACGATTAACAACAAGAAATCCCTCTATATTTCTCAATTCTGGAGGATTGAGATCGATTTTAAAAAGAACAAAATCGCTCGGGACCCACCATGTTGGATCAGGCTGGTGGAAGAGGACAAGGCATGCCGGGAGAGGAACATTAAAGGCTCGCCGGATTCGGAAGTGAAAACTAGGTCTGGCGTTGAAACTCCCTGACGGTACATGTCGTGCTGCCCTCTAGCGGTGGAGGTACACAGGCTCCTGCCCAAAACTGAATCCGGCTGAATTCAGAGCCTTCATCCCCAGCGCCTCATTGCCGTATACACCCAAAACTGATCTAGCCTGACAAAGAAAACAATGACTACCCGAATCTTATTGAAGTTCACGATTCTAGGACACTTGTTGCAAACGGAACTCTTAAATCCCCAGGGCTAATTCACACCTTTGATTTATCTGCTTGCTTGTTTAGACGTTTGGCTTATTTTTCGACACTCTTGGGATTATAAAAATACCTCCGTTTGAAGAGCAGCTTCAGCCGTAATAACTTTAAACCGTCCCTCCTCAACCTCCCCTTATTTCTCCACCGCACTGCTATTAATTAGCCGG